ACAGAGGGTGGAATGACGGATGAAATCTGTGTACAGTGGTAAAGGTAAAGGGACCCCTGACCATTAGGTCCAGTCGTGACCAACTCTGGGGTTGCGACGCTCATCTCGCTTTATTGGCCAAGGGAGCCGGCGTACAGCTTCCGGGTCACGTGGCCAGCATGACTAAGCTGCTTCTGGCGAACCAGAGCAGCGCACGGAAACGCCATTTACCTTCCTGCCAGAGTGGTACCTATCTATCTACTTGCACTTTGATGGGCTTTCGAACTGCTAGGTTGGCAGGAGCTGGGACCGAGCAGCGGGAGCTCACCCCGCCGCGGGGATTCGAACCGCCGACCATGTGATCGGCAAGTCCTAGGCGCTGAGGTTTTACCCACAGTGCCACCCACATCCCTATTATTATTATTATTATTATTCCAACTCCATAGTTCTATGATTCACCTAAGCCCCAAAGTACCAGATGATGGATCTCATGTCACCTCTTAGTCCCCTATTCTCCAGACTAAACATCCCCAACAGACCATTCCTCTGTTTCTCTGGAATGTGGCATGAGGCCATCATCTTCTGTTCAGCTACTGTGGCATTGGGTGCCCCCTCACACACCCACACACCCCAGTTTCTCTTTTCTTTAATGAACAAACTGCTATAAAGCCTCAAGATGAACCAGTCTGTGGAGAGAGACAAAGGCCATTTGACATTAATGGGCAGGATGGTTACAGATGTTGGCTGGTTGGCTTTTCAAATGTTTTCCTCACTTTAAGAATTCTCGCCAGAGCTCCTCTCTCTCTCTATCTCTCTGCCTCTCTCTCTACACCACACATGCACACAAACCCACGGTTTTCTGAGTTATGAGCCCATTGAAATGTCGTTAGCCAGGAAGACACAAATGTGAAACAAATCTCTTTGAACCTCACTGCATTCGGGTCCGTGGGGAAGTGGTAAGGGAGAAAGGATTTGTTTGTAAGGGAGCCACAAAGATGTCAAGGAGAACGCAGGAAAATTCAGCTGGTCGGAGATAGCTGAGACAACATTGCTGAGAATTAGGGAATGGTGTGGGCTTTACGGGACATTTAGAGCAGGGGTCAGCAAACTTTTTCAGCAGGGGGCCGGTCCACTGTCCCTCAGACCTTGTGGGAGGCCAGATTATATTCTTTTGAGGTGGGATGAACGAATTCCTATGCCCCCACAAATAACCCAGAGATGCATTTCAAATAAAAGGACACATTCTACTCATGTAAAAAACACGCTGATTCCCGTAACGTCCGTGGGCCAGATGAGAAGGCGATTGGGCCCTGGGCCTTAGTTTGCCAACCCATGATTTAGAGGGTAAGCTGTTTGTTGGGTCTTCTTTCATTCTTCCTCTTCAGCTTTACTCCATCTTCCCATATTTGTCCCTAGAGCTCATTCCTTTGCTCTTCCTTTTCCTCCCCCACCCCCCACAACAGGGTTCAAAAGGTGAACGGGACCACTGGCGAAGTGGGAGGACAATCTGCATCAAAACTCACGAGAGGCGGGCAGAAGGAAATCGAGGCGTTTGATGCGTGCCATTTGCTGATCCGCAACCCCTACAAAGCGCTATGGCTGAATTCAACCGGAAATATGGAGGCCAACACTTGGGTTTGGCTGCTCACGGCCCACTGGAAAGGGAAAGGTAAATATGGGGAGCCACCCCACCAGCTTCTAAAAGATTATATTTTTTTAAACCTACCTTTTAGGGCACAGTGCCCCGTCACAAGGCGCGTGACAAAACTCTCAAAAGCACACAAGCACAAAGTCTGGCCATATTTACACACATATGTTAAAACCACTATGGCCGGCATAGGATGTGGGTGGCGCTGTGGGTTAAACCACAGAGCCTAGGATTGCTGATCAGAAGGTCGCGGTTTGATCCCCGCGACGGGGTGAGCTCCCGTTGGCTCAGTCCCAGCTTCCTGCCAACCTAGCAGTTCGAAAGCACGTCAAAAGTGCAAGTAGATAAATAGGTACCCACTGCCGGCGGGAAGGTAACGGCGTTTTCCGTGTTGCTGCTCTGGCTCGCCAGAAGATGGCTTAATCATGCTGGCCACATGACCGGAAGCTGTATGCTGGCTCCGCTTCGGCCAATAAATGCAAGATGAGCGCCGCAACCCCAGAGTCGGCTACGACTGGACCTAATGGTCAGGGGTCCCTTACCTTTACCTTTACACTGTCAAATAACTGTATTGTTGAATGCATCACCAAAGTTTTCAACTATCCATGATATAGCCTTTAGGCTTAGGGCTTTTGTTTTAGTGGAAGAATGTTGCAGAAATGTGGAGACCTGAAATTTTAAGACTAAAAGAAAAATGGAGAGAGCTGCAATGAACGGATCCAACTGTCCCTGGTCAAGACACAAACTGAATGAATTCCTGCCCATGTCTTGACCCTTGCAAGGAATTTAAATAGATTGCACTGCAGAACTGCACAAAGTTCAGCCAAAAGAAATAAAACCAGATTGGTCTGCACTGGCAATTCCAGGCTTTAAAAATGCACCTAGTCAGCTTCTTGCTAGGTTTGCTGCAGCTGGTCAGTTGTACTACCATGTGGTCAGATGGGGCAGATCTTCGATGCCCACCTTAGTGCCAGGCTGCAGACTTACCCTGCTCCCTTCCTTCCGATCACACTTTTCCTCCTGGCTCCCCCAAGCTTAAGTCTATGAGATTTTTACTTTATTAAAAAAAAAAAAAGTTCTGTGTTTTTGTTCCATGGCATTAATTTTATGATATCCCTTGGATCGGTTCCAAAGCAAAGTTTTTATGTGATATGATTATTGCAAGGTGAATTGTCCCGCTTCTGTTTAATGGAACAGAGAGTCCATTTAATAATTCAGAGGTGGGGGATAAACACAGTTCAAGAGGATTAATAAGGATGTGGGGAGGGGAGGGTGGACAAGGTTGTCTTTTCCTCAAGGAGGCGAAGACGAAAAAGTTCAAGGGTCCAAAACTTTTTCTGCACCGCAAATGAGGCATCGGGCCAGTTACAGTTTGCAAACGGAATTCTGGCAGATTATATCTGGTTCATTATCCATTTTATCACCCGATTTTAATGTGAGGATCAATTAGCAGGAAACCTCAGGGGTAATTGAAAGATTTCCTCTCCTTCTTTTCTAAAGCAAGGGAGCATGTTTAACTGAGCGCCAGGACCTGGTGGCCAACGGAGCAGCTTGCTAATGAGATCGTATCAATCATCAAACAAAAAGAGCCTAGCAGGAAAGGTTTTTTCTTAGGGAATGATGCGTTTTATGGCAACAGGGGTAAGGTAGACATGATGAGATGACCCTCCCAATCAGCCCTTCCCTGCAAAAGAGCATTGACTATATTGGACCCACGTCAGGAGCTGATCTGCCTGGAGCCAATAACTCGTTCCTCTCTGGGTTGCTGCCCTGGTAGTGAGGTTGGAGCAACCCTTATAAACAGGTTCCCAGGTACACAGAATCAAAGAATGGAGGGTTGGCGATGGATCCCAAGGGTCTTCAAGTTCTGCAATGCCAGGAATCACAACATGAGTGATTCCAGCCAACCAGACTGGTTATTATTCATTATTATTATTGTTGCATCTACAGTAGTACCTCGGTTACATACGCTTCAGGTTACAGACTCCGCTAACCCAGAAATATTACCTCGGGTTAAGAACTTTGTTTCAGGATGAGAACAGAAATCGTGCGGTGGCGGCATGGCAGCAGCAGGAGGCCCCATTAGCTAAAGTGGTGCTTCAGGTTAAGAACAGTTTCAGGTTAAGAACAGACCTCTAGAACGAATTATGTAACCAGAGGTACCACTGTATATCCAACTTTTCCTCTAAGCAGTTCAGGTTGGCTGTCATCTTCGCTCTGCTTATCCACACGAGGAACCACAGAGCTCCCATATAGTCCTACTTCAGAACATCTCTACAAGAATTCAGGCTTCCTTTTCATCATTGGGCTTCTTTATCCAACTTGCTACCCCAGTTTGCTACCCCAGCTTATGTTCCACCAATCTCCTGTAGGTTTGCCCCAGACCCTGGGACACACACACACAGAGACTAAAATCTGTGTCTTGTTGCCTTCCTATTTGTTCAAGTATAAGAGGGCTCTATCCTCTTATCTCTGTTCCCTCTAAACCAGTGTTTCCCAACCTTGTGCCTCCAGCTGTTTTTGGACTACAATTCCCATCATCCCTTGCCACTGGTCTTGCTAGTCAGGGATGATGGGAGTTGTAGTTCAAAAACAGCTGGAGGCACAAGGTTGGGAAACACTGCTCTAAACCAACAGCAAGGGTGTAGACATGGGGCAGGAATTCATTCAGGTTTGTGTTTTAACCAGGGACAAATGAACCTGTTTATTGCAGCTCTCTCCATTTTTCTAGCCTTAAATTTCTGCTCTAGGTGCAGCTGTTTTAAACTGTTTTCATGGATGATTTGATTGTTTTTTCCTTTTGGGTTTTTTAGTGTAATATAAATTTTATGGGGGGGGCGGGGGATGGAAAAAAGCAATTTAAAAAAATCTTGTCTTGGGTCTCAGGAAGCAAAATATCTCTGGCCAGCCTCCCACTCATACCTTTTTGAAGCTGAGCTGATCCAGGTCTGTTCAGAGACTAATAATAAATAATATTTTTTTATTTATGCCCCGCCCTTCCCAGTTCAGAAAACCGGGCTCAGGGCGGCTAACAACAAATTTAAAACACTTAATTGATACAACTACCTCATTTCTACCATCATGGACAAAGGGCAAGCTGTTTCTAATGTGTTGTGGGTCCCATTGTACTTGGCACCAAATGTGCTCAGAATCCTGCCCTGCTGCCGATTAACAGGATGCCCCCCTCTCTTCTTTCAGAATGGCCAGAATTTGTCAAGAACTATGCCCCTTGGTGGGCGACGCACACCCTTGACTGGCTCAAATACGGCAAAAGCGTCCTGGTGGTACACTTTGAGGACCTGAAACAAGACCTCTTCATTCAGCTCAAGAGGATGGTTAGCCTCTTGGGCATCGCAGTCCTTGAGGACCGTCTTCTGTGTGTGGAAGGCCAGAAGGATGGGAACTTCAAGCGATCCGGGCTCAGGAAGTTGGAATATGACCCCTATACCCTTGAGATGAGGAAACTGATCAACGGCTACATCAAAACAGTGGACACGGCCCTGAAACTCAGAAACCTCACGGGGGTCCCAGAGGACTATTACCCAAGATGATGGTCGTGTAGGGACCTCTTTCGGCTGGGAGGAACGGGATCTGCCCAGGCAGGTGTGGCTTGGTTTCACCTGGCGAGTCACTATTTCCACCCAGTGGGTGGCCCTTTTTCGGACCTCTGCTGCTCGCTGTTAACGAATCCCCTTGCATGAGCAAAAAGCAGTCAACATCCACCATTGCCAGCAGAAGATGCCTTGGCAAGCCCACCCACACAGTTCTACGTTCACTAGGGACCAACATTAACATACGGATGGGGGAGGTTTGCAAAATGAAGCTAGATCTTTGCTGCTGCTGTTTGGAAGAGTGTTGTCTCCCCTGCCCCACTTCGTAATACGGATCACCTCAGCTCTGTTCCAGGTGGTTGCAGTACCCAGATCTTTTGGGCCGCCGCAGAGGCATTGCTGGGGCCTTATCTGAGCCAGGCAGTTTTCTATTCCTGGTCAAAAACCCGTGGTCTGTTTGGCTGCCCTGAAACTCCTCAAGATTCAGGTCTTTCATTCAGACCTGGCTGGCGCTTGTACACACATCCTGGGTTCCTCTACTCTGTACACTGGTTCACATATCTGCACACAAACACCTGGTGACTATAGGCTGGTCTACTCATACAGTATACAGTGGTGCCTCGCAAGACGAAATTAATCCGTTCCGCGAGTCTCTTCGTCTTGCGGTTTTTTCGTCTTGCGAAGCACGGCTATTAACGGCTTAGCGGCTTTAAGAAAAAGGAAACAAACTCGCAAGAACTCGCAAGACGTTTCGTCTTGCGAAGCAAGCCCATAGGGAAATTCGTCTTGCGGAACGACTCAAAAAACGGAAAACCCTTTCGTCTAGCGAGTTTTTCGTCTTGCGAGGCATTCGTCTTGCGGGGCACCACTGTAGTACAGTTACAGACCTGAGGTGGTTGAGTGGGTTGTACCACTTTAAATTTCAGCTGGAGGATGCCATTTTTTAATTCCCTTCCCCGGGGGTGGGGGGAAGACAACACACAAGTTCCTGATTTGTTGGTGGTTGGTAGTTCAGGGATTCAAGGTCGCCATTCTCTTCCTGTTGCGGACTTCATTTTCTGCTTGTAGGGGAGCGTTCCAAAAAGTGGTACCATCCACCCTGAGACCATCTACCTCCTCATTACAGGAAGCTGCCTTACACA